CATTATATGAAATTCAGATTTTAGAGTCCACAAATAAACTTTATTGACACACAGGCATGCCCATGTTCACAGATGCCTGTGGCTGCTTTCATGACAAAATGATAGATTTGAGTAATTGTGATCGAGTTTTAATGGCCTCAAAAGCCGAAAATATTTAATATCTGGCCCTTTACAGAAAAGATTTGCCAACCTCTAGACTGGTGAACCAACAATCAGAGAGAGGAGTTAAGAAGCTGTTGCAGTCATTCAGATGGGAGATGGCGGTAGGCTAAACTAAGGTCATGACCTTGAGGTTGAAGAGGGTGGGGACTGGATTCCAGCCTATTAAGCAAGCAGGTTTCCTGACTTCTGCCAAGCTTCCCTGTCCCACTCCCAAACAATTAGGCTTTTCTGAATAAACATTTCTTTGCCTTTACCAGCAAATCAAGTCTCCCTCAAAATTTTTCTAATTGCCATGCTCCCTCCCAAGTGTCCTCTTAAGTCTCAAATGTGAAATGGGGATAATGGAATGAAGTGTTGGGTGTGAGGTGCTTACCAAAATCCTATTCACAGTCTGTTGCTGGGATCCCTCAGTAGTGAAGTGCTAGAGCAGGTAACTGGCTAGACTTAATCTACTGCCACTAAGGAGTCAAGTGGGATGATTCCTTTGGCTTCCTGTTTTGGTCTTTGTCTAGGAGACTAGGCTCTGAACAATGGCGTTCCAGACATGTGTTTTAAAAATGGTTGCTTGTTGGAAATCTCAAAGCTTTGCCATCATCTGCAGTTTTAAGTTTTGGTTTAAAAGAAGACTTTGTATTTGGGGTTCTACAAAGGAACTAGCATCAAACTTGGCCTTTGGGCTTTACTAAGGACTTTAAACACAAATCATCTGTTAAAGGCAATATTTTCTCATTAAAATGTTTTCAATTAGTTTCTTTCTTTTTTTTAATCTTCACCCAAGGATATTTTTCCATTGATTTTCAGAGAGAGTGGAAGAGAAAGGGAAAGACTGACAGAAACATCGATGTAAGAGAAACATATTGATTGGTTGCCTCCTGAACATGCCCTGACCAGGGCCCAGGCCAGGGAGGAGCCTGCAACTGAGGTACATGCCTTTGAACGGAATTGAATCTGGGACCCTGTGGTCCACAGGCCGATGCTCTATCCACTGAGCCAAACCGGCTAGCGCTCAATTAGTTTCTTAAAAGTAATAAGCTCTGTATCTTAGTACACATCTTAAAAACTAAACAAGACTCTCATATTCTTGGTTTATAGAACTATTGACATTTTTTTTAAGACTTAAAAAATGCTTTGGACTGATTTTTAGATTTTAGCATTTCCTCTGCGCCCCTTCTGAATACAGCCAGAATGTAACATAACTTGGGTTTAACTGAAACAACTTGTACATTGCAAAACTAAGGCAATGATCTTTCTATTCATTTCCCAAGTACTTTGGTTATATTCCTATATGTGTGAGGCACTAATCAACACTAGTGGTGGGCACTTTTCTTTTTGGAGTTGACGCTTCAATGATGGAAGAAAGACCCAGATCATAAATTACTCTGTTGGCTGTGCGTCATGGGGTCACAAAATGCTGAGGGCCCAGACCTCATTTCAATGAGTAAGTTAGTACATGTGTCCCGTGTACTGTCATGTGCTGGGGACAGAGCAATGACCAATATATGCAAGGTCCCTACCCCATGAAATAATTAAATAAGATAATTTTGTTGGTGGTGGTGGGAACCGTACCAGGAGTTAAGACCAGTGGGGCCAGACTGGACCTGGGTTCAGCAACTTGAGTCCAGCTAGGAAAGAATTCAGAGCCAAGACTCAAACTATAAGAGAACATTTATTTAGGAAATCACAGAGATGGAAGAAATGAGTGGTAGAAGAAATAGCTCAGGAAACAAGGTACAGAGGCAAAAGAAGGGCCTTTGAGTTTGGGAATGAGGAGGGAAATGGTGACATTCCTGGAGGGAAGGTGACGGAGACGGAGAGGAGGGGAGACGAAGAGGAGGAGAGATGGATGGGTTTGCTCCCTGAAGGGAGAGCTCGCTGGGTCCTCTGTCCTAAAGGTTTTAAGGGTGGAGATTTTAGAAGAGGTCCCAGAAAGATCTAGAGTATTCAACAGCTTTCCAGGTGTGTCCTTTCAGGGTCTAGGTCGGAGCCATGGCAGGGGGTCATTATCCAATGCCGCTGGTCCTAAGGTCAGCCATGGCATCCCTTGTCTGGTTTTGTTGCTCTTCTGGGCCTGGAACTGAAATGCAACTAAGGTCTACATGTATCTCTAGGGAGGAAAGGTCAGGGGGTCCAAACCACAAGACCAGAAATATGCTAGGTGAGGAAGGGTCACCCTGAGGATCTGTTGCTAGGCACCTGAGGCTTTCCACCCCGGTGACCTTCTGTACTTGGCCCATCATCCTTGCTCTGCTAATATCTGTCTAACTGTCTACCACAATTTCAAATAGTGGTAACTGCCATGAAGAATACCCAGGCTAAAGGGATAGAGAGTGACTGAGGCATGGGAGGAGCACTATTGCAGATAGATTGTTGGGTATGTCTTCTCTGAGAAAGTGAAATTTGTATTGAGGTCATAATGATGAGCATGAGTTACTGTGCACAGATGTGAGCCAAAACATACCAGTTAAGGGCACAGCTGATGCAAAGGTCCTGAGGTAGGAACCAACATGGCCAGTGTAGTTGAAATGCAGTTACTCATAAAAGAGTGTTACATGGTGAGGAGAGACAGATAGGGGCCAGATTTTGGAGACCCTTGACTGCTGTTGATGGCCTTTGTATATTCTTATAATTACAGTGAATAGCCACAGGAGGTTTTCATAAAATAAAATTAACAACTAATAATTCAAGATCCAAAATGGATCAAAGCAAGCTGCTGGAATTGAAGCTGGAATTAGCACCCAGTGAAAATCTCTACTTTCTCCCCTATCTCCCATCTAATAGTTGGGTACCTTACACCTTAGGCAGAGCCAGGGACTTCTCACATCCATCCTATCCCATTCACAGACATTAGGAAGTTCTTCCTTATGTCTTCTTATAATAGCTACTCATTCATTTTAAATTTAACCTTGGGGATGACACAGCTCTTGTTTCTCTTTCTGAGTATCAGTCCTGAAACCAGTTCAAGGATAGTGCAAACCTCTGCCTGCCCCTCAATTCTTCAATTCCTTTCCAGGATGTGCCTGCAATAGTGTTAGCCCTGTACATTATCAGGATGGTGACACTAATAACATAGTCTGATTATCTGCAATCTACTCTCTGTGAGGGTGCTCAGCATTCATTGTAGTTTCTCCAGCAAGGTCGCCCGCCCACAACTCTAAAAAATGAAAGAAATCAAGACTCAACAACTTGTTCTCTCTCTCTCTCTCTCTCTCTCTCTCTCTCTCTCTCTCTCTCTCTCCCTCTCTCCAGTCATTAAAAATGTAATTTTTTTTGTAAGAATTCAAACCCAAAGGGTATAAAGTGAAAGGGAAAAGGAATAGTTCTCCAATTACCTGCTGGAAGCCGGTCCATCCTTGCTGCTTGACATAGTCGCTGCAGGGAAGAAACATCTGCACAGCATATGTTTCAAGGGACCTGGGGTATATGGCATACTGTTCTTAATATGTTTGCTCCCCTTCTTAGCGCTATGTGTTTTAACCAAGGTCACCTCTCCGAGAGAGGTTGTTTCCCCAGGTGGGGATTTTTCCCTGGAGTTAGGGATTAACAGGACTAAGGAAGGGAATAAAACCCCTTAACTAAGTGCCAGGCAGGTAATTAATCACTTTAACTACGAACAATCACGCTTAAGCTACATAATCTTTACTTAGAATAATCTCCTTCAGTTACTCCAATGTAGCTTAACAGAACAATAGAGTAGTGACCTTGGAATGGAGATAACAAATGCTAACCTTTGGAATAGAATGGATAGGATTAAAATCAACTGGTATAAATACAGATGTAACAGGAGAATAAAGACAGAACCTGGCTGGAGAACCTGGCTAGAACCTGGCTAGGCTGCTGATCAACTGAACGCTGTCTCCATGTCATTCCTTCTTCGCCGACTCCATCCACACCTTTGGGAACCCCTGGACCTGCTGGGGTTGGATCCCAACAATTACCTATTTTTATTTTGGAGGTTATTGCTGTTAACACTTACACATATTCATAAATGCTTTAAAACATGTAATCCTGTAATATGTGGTATATATATCATATAGCATCTAGAACATTTTTTCATATCTAAATACATAGATGCCTGTTCTTTTTAATGAGTACAAAGTATTCTATTATGTGAATATACTATGATTTATTTAACCATCTCCCTATTAGTAAACTCACTTGTATCTTTTATGTTTGAAAATCTCTGACCCTTCTAGCTCATGTTAAATCTCACTTCCTTTGTTATAAATTTAAATTATTCAACACTAAACATTAACTGAGTACCTCCTATCTTCCCAGCACTGTGCAGGGCACTGGAGCCGCTAACATGCTTAATACATAGCCCCTGCCCCCAATTTGAGTTATTACAGTCTAAAGACATACTCCTAAAAAACTAAGAGAGAAAGTGACATGAGCTGGAATGCCTTAGCTATATATTATTAATTCCACTTGGGGAAGGTAAAGAAGGGAACGTTAGAATTGAACTATAAAGGATGAGGTCTTCTGGGGGCAAGGAAGAGACAGGATTCATACACAGGGAATAACAACACAATGGTTTGGCAGGAAAGAGCATGTTATGTATCAAGAATGGCCAGTAGCTCAGTGTGACAGCAGCGCCTGTGGGTGTGGGCTGACCAGGGTTGTACTGTTTGCCCAGCAGTTGGCTATAGGAAACGTTCAACAAGTGAATAGAAGGACATGTGCTCTTTGCCCAACTGGACTCCAGATGCTCTTGGGGTTACTCTCTCTATGCCCTGCCATGCCTCCGGTGCAGGGGGCTCTTTCTTGAATTGGTCTGATTTAAATATATATATCTTATTTACTTTTCACTCTTAACCATGTCATGTCCCTCTTTTTTGCAGAGTGTAGTCACTCAAGAAATAGAACAGAATTCAGCCATGGCCCCAAGGAAGAGAGGTGGACGGGGGATTTCATTCATCTTTTGCTGTTTCCGCAATAATGATCACCCAGAAATCACGTATCGGCTGCGAAATGATAGCAACTTTGCACTTCAGACCATGGAGCCAGCGTTACCCATGCCCCCTGTGGAGGAGCTGGACGTCATGTTCAGTGAACTCGTGGTAAGTCCCAGACTTCCATCCTAACAGTGATTGGAGGTAGGAGGGAGAGGCAAGGATGTGAGTAGTTTGGTTTTGTTAGCCATGGACTTGCCCTGCTTCAGTGATGTGACCCCAATCTGTCCTTTATGTCTGCAGCCCCACTGTTATCACTGAGCCTGTGGAAAGAGAGAAGGAAGAAGGAAGCATTACTATATCAAAGGGCCTTACTGGTGCTTTAAGTGGAGTGATTTAAACTTTAAGTCTTCAAATATGTGGCAGTACTGCATCCTAGGTTATCCTTTCTAATTCTTCTCCATCCCAACCTGATTCTCTACTTGTGTGCACAAACAGTTCCCTCATCTGCTTCCTACCTCATGGCAGTCCCCAGTGTTTCCTCCATTCCCACTCCCAGTGTACAATATTAATGTCTTTTTAAAAATTAGTCAGACTACCCCCCCTGACCTTGACCCTTTGATGAAAGACATTATTACTTAAGCACAGTATAATTATTTAGCCTAATGATAGGATTGCAATAATAACTGTTGTGGGAAACTTTTTATAGATACTATCATCTTTGAGAATCCACTATCCTGAAGTGAGAGATGTGTCTGATGTAGGATCCAATAACTGTTGTGAGAAACTTTTTATAGATGCTATTTTATTTTAGAATCCACTGTACTGAAATGAGAGGTGTAGCTGGTGTAGCACCCATTTACTAAGAGATGTAAGGGCTTTCTTCAACTTAGCTTTTCAGGCCTCTCCAAAGTAGTGTTTCTTTCCATCCCATGTTTCAAGAGGATATTATGGCACTGAAATGGTGATTAGGAAGACCTTGCTTCAAATTACTGCTCTGATTTTATTATCTGTACAAGTATGGAAAAAGCATATGCCTTATCTGAGCTTGTCTTCTGGAACGTGGAGGAAAAAATAATACTTTCTCGTAATTTGATGTAATGTTTAAATGAGAATAATAAATGGCCCAATGTCTGTTCCTCATTGGTGCTCAATAAGTGTTACATTAGTACTCTATCCACCTCAGTTACCACTGGCATTTTATAATGGAGTTAGTTCTAATCAGACCATTTGTATTATTGAGTAGATAACAGAGAGTGCTATTGTTTTGCATGACTGTGTCAAAAAAGTAATATAGGCTGTGTCACTTCCCTCCAGGGGTATTATCTGAACTGATTGTGTCACCTCAGCTCTTCTAGACCAGAATTCACCTCTAAGCTTTTCCTACAAGAGAAGCCAATATGAGGGAGTATTATGCATGAAGCTGTTATTTGAGTTCCAGTCTCCTGAGTAGATTAATGGGCCTATTACCAACCAAAACTGGTTGGCAAAAAGAAGAGATGACTCTTGGCAGCACCTTTATACTTTATGATATTGAATATTTCAGTGTTTCAGCAATCTACCCTCTGCCATCGTCACTGCATACAGACTCTGTTCTAAGTGTTAATGAGGATGTTCGAAATAGAAAACTGGAACCTGCTCCCAAAAAGCTGACAGTTTCAGGAGCAAAAGGGGGGCAATAAAGGTATAATGCCACCAAAGGAAGAAGCACAGCCCAGTTATGCTTAGATTGTGTGTAAATGGCTTGTGGTGGTGTTGGTGATGAGGAGGGTGGTCAAGGAAAACTTTCTGGAGGAAGTGAGTTGTGAGGAGCGATTGAAGGTGAGAAGGGAAGTGGAGGGGATCAACATTAATGATAATCTTAGTCATCTTGAGCTAGATTTTTCTGTGATAGCAAAACCTCGGTGGCTACAGCAGCAAATGAAACCAGTGTGGGTCAGCTGTGGTTCTGCTACTCTCCATCTTCTATCCAAGACCCAACCCTGGTGGAAGAGGAAAGAGAGACATGGTACTTGGGGTGGTGAATACACAATACAATATATAGATGATGTATTAGAGAATTGTACACCTGAGACCTTTATAATTTTATTAACTAATGTCACCCCAATAAATTCAATAAAAAAGAAAATAAAAGGCATGGTAAACTGCAAGTGGGCTCTAAGCTTGTGCATGGAAATGACACATGTCACTTCTGCCCACATTTCTTTGGCCAAGGCAAATCACATGGCCACTCCTGAGTTCACAGGGCAGGGAGGTATCATCCTTCAGTAAAGACTGGCATCATAAGTCACACGGCCAAGCCTGAGGTTGTCGGTGCAGGTGGAGGACACAGTCTTCTCCTAGGGAGGGGCAGTGAACCACCTGCCATGATGGCTACCAAGACGAGCAATAATGAGGTATTGACAGGCTTGGTTTTATTTCCCACTTAAAGCATTTTAAAATCAAAAGTCAACCTAAGAAGACAGATGTTGCTGATAGATGAAGACCTCCTTGGTGGTTGTGGAGCTGGTGGGCAGAGCTTGTACCCTCAAAGCATCCACATCCACTGTCCTTTCAATCATGTTCTGTCATCCTGCCCAAATGAGACCTGAGCCAGAGCCTGTGTGGTGGCAGCTCCATGTACATCTTGAAGACAGCTCATTGTTGTGTCTTCATAAGGGAGAAAATTCCACGTTCTGCCTTAGTGATGTCTTTATTCTGTGTGAAAATTGCCCACAGCTGTTAGTTGTTAAGAAGCCAATGCCAAACCAGAACTTGAGGCTGAAACCATTGGAAAACAAATTATCTTGAGGTTTATATCTGTCCTGGTGAGTAACGGATGAATTTTTGTCTACTTCTGATTTTAGGGACTTAGACCACAATCTGTCCAACTGCCAAAGGTGTCCTGGGACAAGGGAAGTAGACTCAGAGCCACTGGAAACCTCTGTCCTGGATTCTCTTGAGCAGTCGCAGAAGCAGTTCTGCCTCTGCCAATTCCCAGGAGAGGGAGGCCACGTGGGGAGGCGGAGAGTGCATGGCTTCTGGAGTCAGACCACTCTGCAACCTAGCTAACTCCTTTCAGGTGGTTTCTGTTAGAATTTGAGTTTATTTTCTTATCTATAAAATGGGGGTAATACCTCCTCTCCTGTAGGTTGGTATGAAGACTAAAGCAGATAACGTCTTTTAAAGAGCTGACACCTAGTAGGTGCTATACATCCCACATCCTAGTGCAGGGAGATAATTCACGTGTTTTCTGGGCACAACACTTCTAAGCATATATCCCAGACGTTTCCTTTTCTTGAAAGCTAATCTGACTGCTGTGAGCGAGCCAATATGGGTCCCACCTTTCAGGCCATTTTACCTTTGTATCTGTTGGAAAGCATCTCATCAGAGCTGGTTGTTGTAAGCTAGTTTCCTTGGCCTTGTCAGATGAGTTACTCATTTAATGTTTTTAAAAGTGATACTAAATAGGTTACTTTCAGAATAGCTTACTGCAACCTTATCATCTCATAAATAAAGCAGGCCTGTATGGGAGGTCAGCCATGTGAATCTTTAAAGAAGGTGGGCAGCAAGGGAGTGCCTTGTTCTCTAGCAGGTTCCCTGTCAGAGCAGGAAAAACAGAATCAATCCAATTTCAGGAAGTAGTGGTTTCTGGAGGTCCCAGTCCTACACCCTGCCTATTTAAAAAATAACAATGTTATTGAGATATAATTCACATGCCATATAATTAACCTATTTGAAGTATACAGTTCACTGGCTTTTAATAAATTCACAGAATTGTGCAATGAATTTCAGAACATTTTTATCACCCCCAAAAGCACTGTCACTCCCCATTTTTCCCCAATCTGACCATCTCTTGGCAACCACTAGTCTACTCTCTGTTTCTGTGAATCTGCCTATTCTGAGCATTTTATAGAAATGAAATCATGTCATATGTAGTCATTTGTCGCTGGCTTCTTTCACTTAGTATAAATGTTTTCAGGGTTTCTATCCTTGTTGTAGCATGTATCAGTACTTCATTTCTTTCTATTGCCAAATAATATTCCAGTGAAAGGACATACCACATTTTGTTTACCCACTTATCGTAAATTATGCTGCTATACCGTAAACATTCATTCACAAGTCTTTGTGTGGAAATATATTTTCAATTCTCATGGAGTAGATTGCTGGGTCGTATGGTAACACTGTTTAACTTTTGAGGAACTGCCAGACTGTTTTCCAAAGTGGCTGCACCATTTTACATTCCCATCAACAAAGTATGAGGGTTCCAGTTTCTCCACATATTTGCCAACACTTGAGAGTTTGTGTAACCTCTGCTAACCGTACATTTTATGCCTATTATACAAAAAACTATCAATACATGTTTCCTGTGTTACCTTCCCTGCCTCACCTCTGTCTCAGGCACAAGTCAGAACCATAACCAATCTGAGACCCAGCACCGATCCCATAAAATAAGATTCAGCTGAAGTTTTGTATTTTCTACAGGCTTTTAAAGGTCTTAGGTTATCCCCACCAACCTATTTGAAGAGTTCTAGATATGACAGCTCTATACACTGTTTTTACTCAAGCAACTTTTCCATGTCAATGTTAGTAATAGGAGATTTCTTTGGGATGAACAGAAGAATGTGTCATTAATTGGCAGACCAATTCTTTTGATCTGTATGTGTGTTAAGTGCCAGGCCCTGAAGTAACTGGTCAACAAAACAGACATGGTCCTTCATGACTTTGAGAGGCTGGTGAGGGAAATAGGTAACTAAACACACAGTCTTACCCAATGTGACCAACCGCTATGAGATGGGGTATGCTCAAGCAGTACATTTTGCTGGGATAACCTGTATTCTACCCCCCCCCCCCACCACCTTTTTTCTTTTACAAGGAGGAAGTTCCACTCACAGGTCCCATTTCCTTTACCTTTAACCCTCTTGCTGGGGAGTAACAGTGCCAGCTTCTCTTCAGTCTCAGTTTCTCTCCTGTTCTGTATTTCTCTGAAAATCAACCTGCTTTCAGAAAACACATATTCTGTGACCCGAGGTGCTATAAATGTCATAGGAATGAGCCTCCTTTGGGAGTTCTGCAGTTGAGCAGCTACCCTTGTGATTGGTGGTGAATGTCCAATTCATCATGAAATCTCAGCAAGCCCACTTGTCTGCAGACAAAAGTTGATTCTCCCAACTTTTTATTTCCATTTG